AAAGCTTAAACTTTGTAAAGATATTACTCGTGGTCTATATTTTTTACATAATTACAATATAATTCATAAAGATATATAGTCTAAGAATATTTTAATTCACAATGTACTGCCAAGCTTTCCGATTTTGGATTTAGCAAGTTTGAGAATGAAAAAACTAGATCAATTGATGGTCTGAGAAAAGTTTATATATCGATCCTCAATACATTATCAACCCCAAGTACGAATTATCAAAAAAATCAGATATTTATTCGTTAGGTGTTGTCTTTTGGGAAATTTCAAGTGGTAAAATACCATTTAAAAATTTTGACATTGAAGATGCAATTACAATACGTATTTTTAATAGAGAAAGAGAAACTCTAGTTAAGGACACGCCCGAGTGGTATACGGATATTTACGTTAGATGTTGGGATCAATTACCAGAGAATAGACCAAATATTAAAGAAGTTTTTGATATTATTAAGAATTATTAATTAGTTCTTTTATAAATTTTACATGTGTATTAATAATTATTTTTAAATAAACAACTCCGTAAACTCATATAGATGAATATAAAAGTTTTAATTTTTTATCATAATTCAAATTGAATAATCATCATATTAGTCTTAAGAGACTTACCAACTGAGATTCTTTTTATTATTGTAAAAAACATCAGATGTTCATTAAATCTTTTGTTAGTTTGCCATTTATTTTATAATATCATAACCGACTCTAATATGAAAGCTACATGGTTACTTTACAATTTTGGTAAAGCACAGGCCTTTTTTCATACTATTAGATTGGGTCCTTATTTTTTAACTCTTGAAGTAGCATGATGTATACTACTGTAAGTCAAGGAGCAAACCTATCTCGTTATTTCATGCAAAGACTCATGTTGGCTTTTGGTGAATACGATATACATTTGATAGAATTAAAAATATCACATAATCTAAATTCAACAATTGATAGAAATAATATTAAAATTAAAAAACCATGGGCTAGCACTCTAAAAACAGAAGTTTTTAACTTCTTTTTACTAGAAGCTGAAAAAATTTACAAGGATGAATTATTTTTGAAATAAAATGATATGGAAATTTTTCATTTTTTATCTTGTAGTCCATTAATAATCGAAAATGCTAGAAAACAAATCAAAAAGAATCTAAAAGAAATACAAGAATTAATTTTGGATAAAAAATTTGTACCATTTCCTTCAAGGCCTTGTAAAACTTTTACTATAGACGAATACCCATCACGAGATGGTTATGAAAACATACATCAATTAAATGTTATTACCCGTGCTATTATATTATATAATGATCTTGTAAATTTATGAAAATCAATTGGTTATAATGTAGTTGAAGATGTGAATAGTTTATTGCTTCAAGGAGTGATGATAATGTTATTTCCGCCACAAGGATTAAGACCTGAGCCATCAATTCAAAAAATAACAAAAGATTTAAAATCCTACATAAATCTTGGATTTCAATTAGATGAAAAAGTAATTATTGAAATTTTGAAATTGTTTCACCAAAGATTAAATGATGTTGGGAAAAAGATAGTAGAATCTATATGCGATATTAAACAAAAAAACAAGGTTGAATTTTTAAGAAAATATTACGTGAAAACATTCAATCCTGACACATATCTTTCAATTGAAGAAATTATGAATATTCAAAAATTTAGTGGAGAATTATTTCCAGAAAATCATCTTGAAGAATTTAGTCGAGCGTATGTGACAGCGATAATTAAATATAATCTAAGATTTCCATAAATATGTTACAAATTAATTTATAAGATTTATTTATTAAATAAGATTATTAAGATATAAGATTTAATTTTATTATTAATAAATTCCATGTTTATAAAAATATAAATATCCAATAATTTTATTAAAATTTTTTTAAAATGGATAACAAAATAAAGAAAAATAAAGTTTTAATTTCTCTAATATATCGTAATTTGTTTAAATATTACTTCTTTTATACACCGTATAATGAAAAAACCAAAATGATAACAATTAGTTGTGGTGAAAATACCAAAAAACAAATTTTATCCCAAGACAAAAAACATCTTTTAAACGAGATTTTAAAAGAAACGGTTAGCAACTTTAAAAAAGAATTAGAAGAAATTGAAGAAATTATTAAAGAAAATGAACCTCTTTTAAATGAAATTAGAAATGGTATTTTTAATACAGAATACAAAAATGATTTCTATAAAAAATTAGACGAGATATTTAATGCTAATGTAATTAATTAATCTGTTATAAATTACTTAAACAAATCATTAATTCTAATTTTTAACTTATCATCATATGTTTTGGCTTCATCAAACATGATTTTAATTGTATTTTTTTTTAACAAGTTCGATAATTCTTCATATAGACTGTTTTGTTTACTGTTATTTTTTTTATTAAAATTTTTTAACTTATCATTATTCCATAAGGAACAGATATTCTTGTTACTGGTAAAAATATTTAACGGTTTGTCAATACTAAAATTTTTAATTGCTTCGATTAAAGCATAAGTCTGTGATTCTTGAATAGAATAATCTTTATTCACAACTTTGAAAATACTTTTATCTGGATATAAAGGACAATAAATTCCTATTCCAAGTATCTTGTCTTTTTTTTAATTTTTGTAAATATGCAAATATCTTCATTATTTGTCGAATTATCTAAATAAAGAAATGAGGCATCACATTTTATGTGCCGGTTCCCATATGTAAGAGTTAATACTTATTATTAACAATAATAAATATTGAATAATAAAATCACTCTTCGAGATTCTTTCGTGAAAAACATTTTTTCCTTCCTTCAGTTTAACATTGGTGGCACCGGTAAGAATTTCTGTTAAAGCAACACCATTCTCATTTACAACAATTTCATTCGTGAGATACCATTTGTGTTTTTTAATCAAATTTCGATCATCTTCGTCAATGATAATATTATAATTCATCGGTTTATTATGTTTATCAAATAATGCAATTTGATAGAGTTGGGTAATACAACCAAAATAACTACTTCTTACGGGTCTTCCAGGATTTATGTTAGAATCGTTATACCAGACTCCATTCATTTTATCCTTATATTTATAAATGAAATTAAACTTATTATAAATATCTTTGAATTATTAATTGATAACAAATAGTTAAATTATTTGTTAAACTAGACCAACAAATCCAAAAATTGGGAAAAACGTCAATACAAAGCATGGGAGCGATAGCGACCAAATGCTGCATATACGATGGCGTTTCCCAATTTTAACGCAGTTTACACTGCTAAAGAAATAGGTGGAGCATGAAAGTGTTCGGTTTCCTATTTTAAACAACGTTTAATACAACGTATTAAACATCGTTTAAATCTAAAACAACAAAAATACTTATAAATTTCTATTTTGATAAATTTTTTTAATAATATACAAGTAATTGAATTAATAAAAATATATAATTATCACAATATAAATTTAATAATTTTAATTTTTCTTTAAGTATAACATTTCCTCATAATCTTTTTTTTCTTAATAATATGGATTTGGAACCTGGCAGATATTATTACAAAGATTTGTTTCAGGAATTAAAAGATGATTATACCAATCTGGCAACTTCTATAAAATTAAATCTATGGAGAAATCGAAATGAAGTTATTACTGAAAAAGCATATTATTGGAAATTACTTCTAGTTAATTATCCTGATTTATCAAAAAATGAATTGAAATGTCTTGCTAATATTTTTGATGAAAATAACAAAAAGCGAAAAACAAGACAGCTTGATCCCGAACTGAGAAAAGTTTATTCCAATCTCCATATTTTAAGCAAGTATGAAAAAATTAAACAATCCGAGATTTATTATAGAGTTGAGCATATCTATAAAGAATATTTAAAAAATTGGCACAATAAACATGATAATGAACGTGAATTATTTTTAAAAAAGGCTGAATCTAACAACTTGAAATTTTCATATATTTATTTGATATATAGTCAAGAAATTTTGTTTTTATTACACAATCTTCAAAAAATAATTTATTGTTTATATATAATGATATTTTTAATTGTATTATTATATTACCGTATTCCTCCGAAAATAAGCACCCCCCGAAAATAAGCACCCCTGTAATTCGTACATACCTGAAAATAAGCACCCCCTGAAGCAAAAATAGAAAACCCCAATTTTATAATGTATACTTATATTAATGTAAATAAATAATTAAAATTTATATTTCAAGCACGTATAATAGATATTTAAAAGCTGCCGCAGGATAACTTTATTTTATTAAATTGCACAATTAAAAGTCAAATTTAATAAACGACTCATTATATTTTTAATGCATTCTAAGCTATAATCCACCCAATAAAGCACCGGTAATTGTTACTTTTTTTTTTTTTTTTCTAACAGCATTTTTTTCTTATTCTTCGCTTCTTGGCTCTAATAGCCTTACTGCATATTCCACATAACTTTGATTTCGCCTTACTGCATATTCCACCTAACTTTGACTCCAAATATCAGTCTTGTTGCATATTTGACTTCGAATAATATCCCAATTAATTATGCAATGTAAAATTCATATCACTCTAATAATAAATTCATCAATATTTTACAATTTATGATATTAAAATAAAAATACAAATGCAACATTACTTTAATTATGCATCGTTAACATCTTAATCGTCATTAACATAACTGTCATCGCTTTCATCGGCATTATCGACTTCAATTCCATTTTGAAAGTCATATCCAAGATTATTTATCGCATCAGAACTTTCCATTTCTGCAGAATCTTGATAATGAATGAATTCACTATGTTCATTCCTTCTGATATTATCATTATTATCGTCAGTATCGCAAAGATCAATGATCTCCAAATCAGAATTCGATTCATTGTCAGTATTACAAAGATCAATAACTTCTAAATCAGAATTCAATTCATTTGAATTATTGGAAATTTTGCAAGTTTTAAAAGATTCTACAATCATTTCATTAGGAAGTTTTTCCCAAGAATTTTTAACACATGTGTATACATCACCTATTCGAGTACGGCGAAGATTTCCTGCAGCAGTATTTCCAGCACTACCTTTTCCCATCCAATTATGCCATTCTTTGCGCAAGTGATCTTTGAACGGTTTGTTGATAGCAACGTCAAGCGGTTGACATATGCAAGTTAAGCCTGCGGGAATTACAGCCAGATCAAAACCGCACTCACCAAACTTACTTTTAACTGAA